CGGTTGACCGGTTAGGTTGTAGCTCGAAAGTTATGGCTCGACTGTGGGTTGAGGGGGCAAAACGACGTCATTTTGACCCTCTTTTTTTTTTCTCTTTTTTTTTTTTTTTTTTTAACTCAAGAGTAGCAAGTAATCTTAAAGATCTTGCATTCAAATATATTCTGTAAAAAAAATCCCACTTTCGACATACTGTCAATCTTAATTTTCTATCCATTTTTTTCCCAACTACAAATCCCACTCAACAAATTTAATATTGAAACTTGAAAGACCAAATAGAACTAATATTTAAAGCCTCACACAAAAATGCAACAAGTGAAGGAGATGTAAACTGGGCATTAAATCATGTTCTTCACAAAGGGCGAAGGGGTAATCTTTTCAATCAATATTGTATCAGGGCTTAATCCAAACAATTCTTTGACTCTTCAATAATTCTAGCTCAAATTAATGTTGACCAACAACTACCATTTTAAAAGAACTTGGTTGAAAATAATGGCAGATGATTTTTGAATTTAAATTTTCTTTTCACCGAGACCTGAATGAGGAAGAAGGAAGAGTGAGAATAAGTGGATTTTCCAGTTGAGAAATAAAAAAAAAGAATAAGTAGATTTTATTTTATTTTATTTTTTTTTTTAGAGAAGATGAGAGAGTAAAACTTTTACAGAAGACAAACGGTAGTTAACTTTTGCAACTTTTAAACGGGATTTTTTAATACAAATGTGAAAGGCTGACAGTTTCTGATTTATAGAGTTATTGTTCGATTATAATTGGCCAAGGGTATCACGTAGGCTTGCCAGCAACTACTCTATCCGCACACAGAAATTCCTCAACAAAGTGGGATTGGCAAAACATTGTGTTTGTATCAATAAGAGATGTTCATATGAAGGCCAAAGAATCTAAAATGAAGGATCAAGAATTTACGCTTTTGGTATCCCTCTATAATATATGAAGCATAGTGAAATTCTCAAAATTTATTCAATCCACTACAACATTTTCTTAGTTTAGTGACATTTGAAAGTGCCACAAAACTATTCTTCTAATGACATTTTTTGGTCTTGTGGCATTTTGAACGTTTTTGTTATAGTGATCAATGGAAGAACAATCAATTCCACATCATTAATAAAATTTCACAAAATCTCTCATCCCTCTACACACTATCTGATACATCCTGATTGTTCACTTGATTTCCTTACTTCATTAAAATCCCCTAAACAAAATGAAGATTGCCATTTTCTTTCAACTTCTCCCACACTTCTCTCATTTCAACTACTTCATTATGAGCATTCAAATTAACAATTAACACAATTTAAATTCAATTTAGAAGTACTTCTCAAGATGATATAATGGCCTATTTTAAGAAGTAGGTTAAAATCCAATTTTTTTGATTTTTTTGGTTTTTTTTGAAAAAACATATAAAAAATAGAGAAGTGATATGATTCAAAAAGTCAAAAAATTGACTTTTAACCCAATTGTCAAAGGGATTGGCTTCCCTTCGAACTGGATGGTACTGTTGGGCCTATGGGGGCCCACCACAAGTCTTGTTTCGATAATATGAACCATTTCAATATGTAGAACTTATCGAGTATTATATGTCTGTAAAAAATCACGTTGATCGGATATCGATAGCTATGTGATCAAATCAGATTTTTGTAAGATATTTATTTTTCACCGTCCATTTTTTTCATACAAAACTAATTTGATCACATATCTATTGATATCCGATTAACGTGATTTTTTTATAGACATATAATACTCGGCGAGTTCTACACACTGAACGGTTTGGATAATCGAAACGGGACTCATGATGGATCTCCAACAAACCCAACAATACCCTCCAGTCTGTGATTAAACTGGAGGGAAGCCATTCCCATTGTCAAAATTGGCCAATGCTTGTTAATGACACTGTTCCCATGATGAATATGCCTTCATAGTGTGGGAGGTAAAAGGGGGGTTTTTTTTTTGGAAAATTAATTTTTTTTACTTTTTAATTTTTTATTAAAAAAATGTGTGAATAAATAAATAAAATAAATTGACTTTTTTGATTTTTGACTAAAATCTCTTCTTCTTAAATGAGGCCTAATTTAGTACAAGATCCGACTTAACCAATGTAAACCGAGCAAAATACGTAACACAACAAAACAGATCTACACCTAAAGTAGTGATCAAAGTCACAAGTGAGGAAAGAAAATGATAGGATTATGAATTTAACAATATATTATTTATACAAACAAACACACACTGCTGGAAATTAGGCTTTTAGCGGCGTTTAAAAAACGCCGCTATAGGTACCAAAAACGTCGCTAATTCTTTTTGTGACATTTAGTACCAAACGCTGATGATGCGGTCGTCGCTATAGCTTTATGGCATTTGAAAAACGTCATTGTATTAGTATAGGCGGCGTTTGTAAAAACGCCTCCAAATGTCTTATCCAAGAGTACTGTGACGTCATTATGATTTTAGCGACGTTTTTAAAACGCCTTCATAGGTTTTTTTAATTTTAAAAATTCCAACCGTTATAGTGGCATTTTAAAAACGCCGTTTTATCTTTCTTTCTTTTTTTGGTTTTGAAATTGTGCTAATTTTATGTGCTTGAACTAAAAGAACACCAATAGTAACACTATTATGAAATAATAACTTCCATTCAAATAACAAATACTACATTAATTCACTTTCCCATTCAATTTAATATCCAATCACCATTACCCACAAAATGACATATCCAAAAATTGAATTCACAATTCTCAATCAAAAAATTACTACCTTATATACAAAGCCACAAAATAACATTACCCTCTTCTCTCTCTCACCACTCCCCCATTTAATACAAAAATAAGAAGTGAACCAAAGCACCCACCGTCAGATCAGAGGAAAAAAAGAAAAAATAAGAGAAATAAAAAACCAAAGGATTTTAGCACAAAAATAACACGTAACCAGATACGTTCCAATTCCGAATGAATCAACTTCATGACCCTGTGGAGGAAAAAAATCACTTGAATACAAATATTTGAGTCCATAACTAAACCTTCTGACAATCAATAAACAAAAAAAAGGGAAACATGATGGAACCATTAAACTAGAGATATTTACCTGTTTGTTCAAAGCATCTAAAGTTTCCTCGTTGAGGTCATTACTTGCAGTAATACCCATCTTTCCAAAATCTGGCACTCCGAATTCCTTCTCAATAGTGCGAAAGAACTTTTGGGACTCACAAGACAAATACGTGAGGTCGCCAGAATCTAACCTAATGCCTATTGCTTTATACCTGCACATTACATAAGCTATGCAGTTAAAATAATAATAATAATAATAATAATAATTGCAAGTCCTGAAGATAAAAAAAATAATGGTAATGAGAGGAACAGAGTTGTAATAGGGAAAAGATAATGTAAACAACAATGCTCAAATCTTGGAGGAAAATAGCCAAACAAAGAAAGCGGCACATTGGCAAAAAGTGTTAATAGACAAACTGTAATATGTACAGCAATGTCACACTAAGAAAAACATTATATTGTTATATTATGAGCTATTGCAAAGTTTAGGTACTTCATCAACATGAATATGTTTTGCAGAATTGTGCTAATACAACATTCATCTTTTCCCATCAATCAAATAACTACAAAATAAAATGAGATCATTATGAATTATATTTATAGTGTGCATTAGCTTCTAGCAACATGCAATACTCTTACATTAATTCTGATAGGCATTTTTACAGGTTGCTCAAATTATGTGATACTGTAGAATGTAGTCCATGGGGAGCAGGAAAAGAACAGAAACATCAGAACAGATAACGAAACACATCTCAATTGAACAAGTAATTCAAACCTCACAAACCACGGTACAAACATTTGTATCAAGTTTAATTATAATTATTTTCCATAAGATGTTTACTTCATAAAAGTAGCAAGGCCCTGAGTTAACAATAGTTAATTGTTAACTTTAGTTATTAAATTATACAGGCAACCTACTACAACAAGAGTATCACTGCTAATACTAAGCATCACCTCACTACAATCACTATATTATAAATGCTTACACCGCTTTTTGAATTCTTGCTTTTGTGTTTAGCTAATAGCTACAAATGAAGTATTACACAGATATTTAAGAATAACGAGAACAATTGCTGGATAAACCATGTGTTAGGGAATCTAAGATGAAAGAAGAAATTGATAAAGCAATTGGGTAAAAGCCAGGGCACCTTTATTTTGCTTAACCATGTCTGCACCAGACTAACAAAATCCTCACAAGTACTTGAACCATCACGAGTTTGAAGTGATTTCTCCATGATCTCATCAGGGCTCTGCAAATCACTGGATTAATTAAACTCATGTGACAAGGAGTATGGACCCAAACTCTTTCCTTTTCCTAAATTGTTGAAAATATAATATCCAGTGGGTTGAATGACACATATGGCCAGTGTCTGTCTAGGATAAAGCATTTGTTTATAAGATATGCCTAATAAATGTCAAGTTTTTGTATGAAAATTTCTTGCAAGCTATACACCTACCATGAATGAGCTAACAAATGCATGGGAATGTGTTCCACGGACTGGTATTCCAAATGACCTCCCAGCTTCAACATTGTTGTCAACACAACCCAAAAAGTAAAATGAGCCACACTGAAATCTACTTTGATCAAGCAGTTGATGGAAAACAATAAGAAGGATTATAAGGTTTAGTCATCCCAAAATCACTCACAAAGGGCAATGCACACCTGTTGGGTTTTAAGACATTAAAACATACGCTACAGTGCTAAGTTAGGAGATCAGTAGTGAAAGTTTTCCAAGGGACAAAAATTTACAAATCTATGCATAATGAAAGATACCACAACAAATCTCGATTTAAGGAGCAGGAAGGGTTTGCCTCTATCAACATGACAATGGTAAAATTAAAGAGGTGACCAATTAAAAAAACCCACGCACACCCCTAGAGTTACATTTGAAGCAAAAACTAGTAGCAAAACACATGCACAACATATTAAGGAGGAGAACCAACAATAGCTTAAGTTGTATGGCCTGAAAAAATTGCTGGCCCTTTAGCAACTAATTCAAAAGTTATGGTTGGACCCGATGACAATTTGGTAAACAACTTCTTCACTTGCTCAGCAAGGTCCTCATGCTTCACATTCAGAAGCAGCAATTACATAAGAGTCGTTCTTTGAGAGTGCTATGCAAGGCACTGCTTCCTCAAGGTTGACACCTGTGACATCATTAGTCATAACAAGACCACTGTTTGGTGCCATTGTTGTGGAACAACATTGGCAGTGGCCTTTAGACCCTCACCGAGTTCAGAATTCTCCTCCACAAATATCGACTAATAAAAGAAAAGAAATAGGAAAACATGCAAATGAAATTACTCCCAACTTGCTATTACCTTTCCACCTGGATTTTGTTCACTGCGTGTTCACTTCCATAACTTCTGAATCCCATTAGACCCAAGTGCCAAAACACCAAAATCGAAATTTGTATAGAGTAGTTGAGCAACCTGGATGTAGATGTGTCAGTCGAGCATAATCCAATAGATAGATTCTGCAGCAACAAATGAGTAGGAACACACCTTGTTGACTGCATCCATACTGTCTGGCATGGTAACCTGCCGGCATTGAGCAGGATCTATAATTTCGGCCAACTGCCAGGGTTTGGTTTTATCAGTTACATCATCCAAAGTTCTTGGCTTTTCCATGTTTCTAGCCATAGGATCAACTCCATTCTAGAGGGGAAACCAAAACGTATAATCAGTCCAAAAGAAACAAATGTGACATTGTACATAAAAAATAAAAGAATAAAAAGTTGCTTGGCAGCCTTAGAATCACTCTATTTTGGTCATTCTCTGTGTTCCATTCAAAATGGAACATGCTCATCGTGTGACAAAAGTCAACAGTATTCATGGGCAGGCACCTCTTAAACATGCACTGGTGCACTGTGATTGGAACCAAGTATATAATGTAAAATTCAGTTCTAACATATAAAACTCCAGTCTAGACAATCAGTATACAATTACTGCATCAACAAACATTTGGCATACAAAGGGGGAGGTGGAAACAAAACAAAATTGGTTTGGTTTTCAGAATTTGTTTTCTGAATAAATTTCAAAAAAAAAGAAGAACCAGAAACCTGATCAATGAACCCAAAGGTCTTTATCGATCCCATGATATAAATACTTCAACCCAAATATATATATATATGTACATATTATATAATGAAAAAATGAAAACTTAAGCATTGAAGGACCTTAATTGCAGCAGATTCAATAGGTGATCTTAATGCTTCAAAGGATGGGGCTTCAACTACTCTTAAAGATCTAAGACCAGCAGTGGTAGCGAGTATCTTTATTCCATTCTCTGCTGTAGTAACAGTGAGAAGATTTCCTTCCTTGTTAAATCTCAAGAGAGGAAGACTCTTATAAGGCAAAAAAATGTCAAAAAGTAAGAGCTGAATTCAAACAAGCTGGGTGTTTCCCAAAACAACTATAAAGATTATACTGACCGAAAGTCCACCATCTGCATCTATACTAGTGGGAATGTCGTTATTGTCCATGTTCCAAAACTTTATTTGATGATCTTCACCCACGGCAAAAAAGTGGTTTTGAGTTGTGTCAAACTGCACAACACCAATGTAGACATCTCCGAACGCCCCGGGAGGATGAGTCCCCCGTTCTGTTCATTTTGGGCTCCACTACAGTTCAGGACTCTCAAATTGTCACGGTTCTAAATCTGAACCAAAGAGTCCAAATCCGGCAAATCGTTTTGGAAAACAGATTTTTTGAAAAGAAGTGCCAAACATGGACTGCTTTGCGCAGATACAGGAGTCGCCCCTAAATATTTATTTTGGGGAAATTTAGAAAATCCTGACTCGTTTTGCCTAAGGCCACGTGTCCGTCCATCACCAAAGTTGCCGTCGGCTCGGGAACTTGGGTACGATTGGGGAAGGTCACTTCGTGAGCACCCCGCTCGCCCGATCAAAGATCGGCCTCTACTAACCGTGATATCTATTTTGAAAACATTATGTGTTCTTATTCGCGGTTATTAGCCTAGATTTACTATGTGATGCGCACAGCATACAAGTATAGACTGGATCGCCTGAATTGGAACAAAACAGTTTCATGTTTATTTTTAAAGTGGTTTGATGGTGCTACCTGCGCATAGTAGGCTAAGACGTGGATTTGCCACCCTTCGGGTGGGCTTAGAAAACATGATTTTGCCCCACTATCTCAGTGGGCTTAAAAACACACATTTGATGAATTGTTCCAATTCAAATAACCCAACCTTCACCCACAGGCATTCAGGCAGTTATATCACATAAGCAGTTAGCCTCATGGCAAGCATGCTATCATGCAGTCACTCACACGCATGCAAGGATGCTAAAGCATAAAACTTACAGAGTGCTCCAAGCCAAAACAGAAGCTATGTTAGAAATCCATGCATGATCCTAACTATACAGAAATGCCTAATGCAACACATGCAAAAGTGCAACTATAGCAGGCTCGGCTATTCTAAACATGGCGTATGGAATGCTACAATTATCATGTATTCAACTTGGAATTGAAAATACAATGCAGTTAGTATGATGCGCCGAGTCCGGTGCATGCAAGACAGATGAATGAATGCAAACATGTTATCATACTGTATGCTAATTGAAACATGCCCTAATCTAATCATCATAAGCGAGTAAATAAAAGGGAGGAAGACGTGGGGTTGGAAGACATACATCACACACACGCACACTTATTACAGTTGTGCCCTCACTCGGAGGGTCCGAATAAATAATATACAGTCCGAAATAATTACGGTCCAAATATGTACAAAACCCTAATTAATTAACAAATTAAATTAGGAAAGCAATAAATTGGCATGCAAGCCAGGGACTGCCTCAAATCTGCTCCGGATGATGAATGATGAATGATGCATGTTCGGGTTGCCTTATGCAGAGAATCCCTTGCGATGCCCCGGTTTGCCTCTGTTCGCAATTGTTCGCGGAATGCGTGCCAAGCTTCGAAAGGCTGCTGATTCTTGATTTGCTGCAACAGAGAGCAACAAAGGGGCATGGCAAAGTATGTTCACATATGTATGCATGACTACTCTTCAGGGAGTGTAGTCCTCGATCCTCGTGCCACCAATCACGCATATCGATGCATGATGGCCGAGGAGTCGAATTGCACGACTCAATATGAAATGAATGCACGTGAAAACCCAATAGGACCTAAACTCCATCATGGATAATCCGGAGTGTCGGTGATCGGGAATTGAGACACGTTCCGTCACTTGAAGTACGAAACGTCCCTCGTTTCCCGTGCTCGGGCTAAGTCCTATCCCAAACACAATGCAATATGCATGACATGCATGAATGCAACTAATATACAACCTTGCATGCACAACGCTATGAAATGGCATACACGATGCACGAGGTAACATGGCATACATAATGCGCTAACATACAACCTAGCATACACAATGCTATGAAATGAAATGGCATACACAATGCACAATGGACTTACACCAACATGAGTGGACCTCAGCCACACTCACATCAGTAGCCATCAGATGAAAACAAGACAACTCGAAATGAACGCTTTGCTAAAGCAATAATGAAAAGATTGGTGCACATATTAGAGTCAGACTGTAAGTGCAGGATTAAACATAATCATGAGTAGTCATTATAATATTTGTGGTAAGACCAATATAATCTAGTAGCATAATCAGTAGATCACTGGAAATTCGATAAGTCAGGTGTTGTTTAGGAAAGACAGCTTCAAAGCAAAGTAGCTGTTACATACCTGGAAATAATTAACCGCATAAGACCTGTGTACTTAGCAACTCTCCATGCTGCATGCTTATTTATAGCTGGAGTACAGCTTCAAGTTCAACGGAATGAACTACATACTGTAAGATGTTACACTTGACATTCCCTTTTGAGTATAATGCTAATTGTTTTCCCAATCAATATTCCTTCATTGCTATTTCTACACGTCCCTGATTCCTGTACTAAAAATTGAGATAATGGTAAGCATCAACAAGCCCATGAGTCATGATCCATAATATTTAAAACAACAGCAAAGCATAATATGCCATTAATTCTTTTGAGATGCATTTGAAAACACAAACCTACATGACATCCCTCCCAACTAACCTCACCATTATCCCAATTATTTAACATTTCTTCTGTCAGGGAATTCTTGTACTTGTCTTTCAGGGCAGCCATCACTGGATGACCAACAGTACTACCCAAAGTCAAATTTTGGCACTAAATCCTTAGGCAAAGCACAAAGAGGTATACAATTATCCATGTTATCTTTTTGCCTTTCCTAACTTAGGAATTGTTTGGTTGTCTTTTTTAATTACTTTTTGTCTATTTAAGAAAAAAAAATTAGATCATTTTGCTTGTTTGCAATTCCTTTTGTACTTTATTCAACCAGACAAGTTTTATTAATTGCTCCTGCACAAATTAAGAGGTACTTCTATATTCTTCTAATTGCATGAACCAATTGATTTGATTTGGTGGGTCCACTTTGAATTTGAGCATTGTTTATTTATTTGCATTTTCCTATTTGATCCCATTATTGATGGTAGAGAACTACAGATCTCATTTGACAATTTTCCATATTATTTATGGTAGAAGCCTTCCGCACAACTGTAATCTTTCCTGTATAGTCATTTTATGTACTTATTCTATGTTCTAACATCCACTGCAGATCTCTTATCATAATTCAGCTTTTGAGTATGTTAGCATATTCCACAGTACTTTTGAACTTGATAACTAGTTCTTATATAAGATGTTGACTAGTTCCCTTCTTCTGCAAGATAGGTAATATAATGATCTAAATGGAAGCACACATTTACACTGAAATTGATAAAAGTTCAACTGATCAGTTTGCTTGTAGACATTGGATTGGATGCGAAACATTTTTCTTTTCATCACACTACAACAAAAAACACATTTTATAGCATTCGAGGAATGCTATCAAAAGTAAGTAATAGCATTCGTTAGAATGCTATGTTTGCCCATGTTATTAAAAGTGTATCATTTTTAATAACATTTATTGAATGTTATCGTTGAACGCTATCGTAAATATATTATAACAATTTTTGAATGCTATGAAATAGTTAAAAGTTACTAAAAATACCAAAGGATAACATTTTGTTAATGCTATGAAATTGTTTTTATAGCAATCTAGTAATGTTACAATTTACCATATCATAACTAACTAAGAATGTTATAATAAAGCATGATAATAATCAATGTAACAGCTCTGGACTCCACTCAAATTGGGAAGTCCAATGACATAACTATAAGAAGGCATGTGTTCTGATAGGTGCAGACCAAACCGCTAACCATGTACAAAACCAGGAGACCAACCTCACAAGTGCACAGCCAGATAAAATCATGAGCTCATGGGGTCCTTTGACCCCACTTCCCATTAGGCGACATTATTCGATTTTGACACAAAATAGCCAACCAATTTAATGCTGTTGCATAATGGCCTGTCAACTGTTTGATAAAATGCTTATAAGTAATGGGTATCAAAGATCTTCTCAGGTTCATGAAACCCCATATTGAACCCATTCACATCAAGAAGTATGCGGGCAAGCGGGTAATATATTCACCTCCTCTCATTTCATGTATATCTATCGATGTCAGATTCTTCGTAGTTACATTTTTTGCATTCTTTTTTCAGGTGGGTATTGTTTGGATGATGAAAACTGTTCTTAATATTTTCTGAGTTCATATTTTCATATATCTTGATTGCAGTTACTTGGTTGGATGCATCGCAAGTTTCGGGCCAATGAACCACTGAAGGATTTTAGCGTAGGTAAGTCATGTATACCCTTACATATTTTTCTGCTAACGCTTTGCTAAAGCAATAATGAAAAGATTGGTGCACATATTAGAGTCAGACTGTAAGTGCAATATTAAACATAATCATGAGTAGTCATTATAATATTTGTGGTAAGACCAATATAATCTAGTAGCATAATCAGTAGATCACTGGAAATTCGATAAGTCAGGTGTTGTTTAGGAAAGACAGCTTCAAAGCAAAGTAGCTGTTACATACCTGGAAATAATTAACCGCATAAGACCAGTGTACTTAGCAACTCTCCATGCTGCATGCTTATTTATAGCTGGAGTACAGCTTCAAGTTCAACGGAATGAACTACATACTGTAAGATTGTTACACTTGACATTCCCTTTGAGTATAATGCTAATAGTTTTCCCAATCAATATTCCTCCATTGCTATTTCTACACGTCCCCGATTCCTGTACTGAAAATTGAGATAATGGTAAGCATCAACAAGCCCATGAGTCATGATCCATAACATTTAAAACAACAGCAAAGCATAATATGCCATTAATTCTTTTGAGATGCATTTGAAAACACAAACCTACATGACATCCCTCCCAACTAACCTCACCATTATCCCAATTATTTAACATTTCTTCTGTCAGGGAATTCTTGTACTTGTCTTTCAGGGAAGCCATCACTGGATGACCAACAGTACTACCCAAAGTCAAATTTTGGCACTAAATCCTTAGGCAAAGCACAAAGAGACAACCATCTGCAAAAATCATTTTCCAGCCTAGAAGCAGCAAGAGTAGAAGCAGACGACTTTGAAGAAGAATCTTCAGTTGCGATTTCCGAGCTCTTGCATGGCTTCCTTACCATAGGTACTCTTGGTTCAGACCCAGTCAGCACAGACTCATCAACGCCAACATTTGCCATATCAGTTGAGAACATAACTGAAAAAGAAACAGAAGTAACAGAGAATGAACTGAAGCTTATTAATGATGAGTTGGAGAAGGTGCTAGGGACTGAAGGAGACGGTTGCAATGACTCATCTGGGGGAAACAGTCATGTTAGTACTGGAAGAAACAGTTATGTTAGTACTGGAAGAAGCAGCCATGGTAGCACCATTACACTTAGCGGAAAGCCATTGGAAGGCACAGAGACCAGTGGAAATGGAACAACAATCTGTCCACTCCAGGGCTATCTGTTTGGATCAGCAATTGAGTTGCCAGAAACAACCACAGTGGTAAAGAAGGAACATAGAACATCGCTTGGGGAGCTGTTTCAGAGGACAAAAATAGCAGAGGAAAATTATGTAGCCAAAAGCGAGAGGGGAGAAAAACGGACAGAAAAGGAGACAGATAAATCAGCCATACACCTCATGAAAAAGATGCTGAAGAAAAGAATGGTTCATGGTTCTTCTCGGAGCTCCACCACATCGACTGGGGGAAATGTTGACTCTGCTTCATCTGAGACATTCTTTTCTTGCTCTAACTTTTGCCTGGGCTGCCCTTCTGGGTTTTTGGCCCAGCGAGCCTCTCAAGGGTAAAAGTATAGCTTTGTCCATGTCAAATGGTTTTGAGATCCCGAAGTCATCTGAATCCAGGAGAATGGCTGTTGTTCGCTGACGATGCAAGAGTCCATCCAATGGAGGGTGAATTTGCCCCTAGTGTTTGTGGATAGGAACTCGGTTGTCCTTCAACAATGTCTTCTTCTTTCCTCCCTTCTGGGGTTTGGCATTCTTGTCGATCTTCATCTTGGACTCTTCGAGCACGTTTGAAATTCTTGCCCCTAGTTCGAGGGGTGCTCCTGATCTAGCTTCGCAAGCTTCTTGATCTGACTTTGTTGCCGCTAATTCACGGGCTGCTTTGGATCCGGTCACACAGGCCTTACATTGTAGTTGACCTTTGAACTTTCTGAGTTCTAGTCCAAGGTTTGAAAATGAGGAGTCGAGTCTCGAGGCTGAGAGCGATACTAAGCTGCACAATCTCAAGAGCGATTCCACACAGGTCTTCGCAGGACCGCGTAAAACATTTTTTTAGCTACACAATCTCAAAAGTGATTCCACACATGTCCTCGCAGGACCGCGCAAAACATTTTTTGAAAGTTTTTAAGAAAGCGACAAATCGCTCGCGCTGAAAACAGTGTAGAACCAATCTGGATCAAAGCTAGGGTCCTTCTCAGTACTCACACTAACAAGCATGTTTTCATTCATTAAGGGCTTAGCACGCCTCTCTTTCTCTCAATTGATCAAATTTTTGCAAAACCCGAGAAATTCCTTCCTCTTCGTTTTCACCGCAGTGTTCAAAAGGTTTTGAAAAACTTAGGTCAATGCAATGAGTTTGAGGCACAGAAAAGTAGGTGGAAAGCACTGCCATTTCATTCAAAACTTCTGGCACAACTGGCACAAGGCAGAAGCGAACACAAGAATGCGAAAATCACTGTTGTTCATTCAAATCTATTGGCATTACTGGCTCCAAGGCAAAAACAGACTCAAAAGAAAACGTAAAGTCAAACACAAAACAAGCAAGTGATGTCCGAGGTAACACCCCCGAAATCACCCGACTCCAAAAAATAGGGCTGACTCGGTATAACAAGACAGGCCCAACTGACTCAATAAGAAAAGACTGACCTATACAAAACAACAAGACGGACTCAATGCCCAAGTTAGAAAGCACAAAAACTAGTGTTTGCGTATTGCTCAGAACAGTGCGTGCCATTCCCACGTCTGGAGTTAATCGAGTGCCACCCGCAGCTGGTTCATCCCCCGATCACATGATCACATTATCCCCTAAGTTCACCGATCCAATGCCGATAGACTTTGCAGAGCTTAGCACGGCAATGACCCCGTTGTCAAATAAATCATGTACTTCATGGCGAAGACGAAAGCAGTTGTCGGTAGTATGGCCAGTTTGCTGATGGAAGGCACAGTACTGGGCGGCATCATGCGTAGCCGGAAGAAGATTTGGGAGAGGCCGAGGCTCAAGGGGTTTGAGATGGCCTTGTCCAACAAGGACTTGGAGAGCTTTGGACAAAGGCATATAGAGGGCATGGAAGACCCTCTGACCTCGGGGTTGGTACTTCAAGGTTTGTGGATTTTTACGAGTAAAGGGATTGGCAGGTGCTGGCCTGGTTTGTTGATCTCTTCTGAGTGCAGGATTATAGCTGAAAGGAACGTTTTTGATACAACGACCCTTCTTCCGGCTTGCCCCTTGATTCAAACTGCCCCCAACTTGAGTGGCGAAAATGTCGTCCACAGTTTTTGTAACAACTGCGAGCACTTGCTCTTTGTTCAGTCCCTCAGCTTTCAAAGCCTTAACAGCCAACAGAAGATGTTCATGGCGATCCATGTCCACCCCTATCTTGTTCTTTCCACTCGCCTCCACTTTGCCAAGGGATTGGCATTCCTCAAATACAGCCCGTTCCAAGACTGGGGAGCCTTTTGACATGAACTCCCTGGTATGTGATGTGGTTGATGACGGAGCCGATGTCCCGGAGGCCAAATCTGTCACAGTTCTCTGAAGATCTTCAATCATTCTCTTCAGCTCAGAAGTAGTGGGCTCACGGGTTTGAGGTGATTGGGGTTCAGATGTACCCATCATGCATAAGTCCATGCTTTCTGGGATAAACACCTCAAGCTTGGGTAGATGGGCTGGGGTGATGTATATGCTAGGATCATAGGTGGATGGCAGTATATGGATGAGATTGAGGTAGGCAGGAGATGTTTGGTCATTGGGGTCTGAAGGTAGAGCTATCGTCTGATTGTCGATAAGATTTTGGATCTCATGACGAAGGCGGTAGCAACGGTCGGTGCCATGACCGCGCTGCTGATGGTACACACAGTACTTGGAGGGGTTATGTCTGGCTGGGAGTGGGTCAGGGAGAGGTTAAGGATCAAAGGGTTTGAGATGCCCTCTTTCCATAAAGACTTTTAGTGCGCTAGTTAGGCTCATATAGAGAGGGGTGAAAGTTCTGCCCTGAGCTCGGGCTGGGCCGACGGTTTGTAGGCT